GTGTTCCTCCTTGTGCCTTCCTCGCCCTGGGTTCTTATTTTTTTTATATTGGCACCTGAGCTAACATCTGTGGCCAATCTTCTTCTTTTTTTTCTTTTTCTTCTCCCCAAAGCCCCCCAGTACATAGTTGTATATTCTAGTTGTAGGTCCTTCTGGTTGTGCCATGTGGGACACCACCTCAGCATGGCCTGGTGTCCATGCCCAGGATCCAAACCTGTGAAACCCCTGGGCTGCCAAAGCAGAGCACAGGAACTCAACCACTTGGCCACGGGGCCAGCCCCTCGCCCTGGGTTCTTACCCTTAACTGCAGAGGGAGGGGCTGGGGTCCCCCTTCTTCAGATCAGCTCAGCCTGCACAGAGTCTGGCAGAAGCAGCCTCTACCTGGCCACCCGTCCTCTTGTCCTCCTTCTCTCGGGGCAGTGAGTACCTGCCCAGGTGTCACAGCTCAGGCACTGGCACTCCTCCCCAGTAAAGGGGTCTGCCCCACTGTCACTGCCATGCCCACCCCCAGAGGAGGGCTGGCAGCTTCTCAGGCTATTGAGGCTTGTTTGGCCCCTCTGGGATGCTGGCACCCCTGTGGGATGCTGGCACACCTGTGCTGGATTACCCACAGGTTGGGGGTTGTGTTGCCAACACCTCCTCCCGAGAGGTTTGGGAACTCTGCATCAGCTAACACAGGCAGGGCCCCGTAAAACATGACGGCCACCGCCCCCCCGCCACTTCCGTTACTGTCCAGACCCCCATGGCAGGAGGCGACTAAGGCTTTGGTTCAGAGATGCATGGGGAGCGGGGCTGCAGTCCAAACCCACTCCTGTCAATCAAACCATATCAGAAATGAGATGAAGGAGCTCACCATTTACAGACATCCTGTTGCGGACTTTTCGGTAAATGGGAAAATTTTTCTTTGAAATGTGGATTTTCTGGTGTCATTTTGCAATGAGTTTACAATAGAGTTTACAGGCTAGCAGTCAATAAGGGATGCGGGAGACGGGCAATGACAGGAACATCTGTGTCAAGTCCCATGAGAGTCATGATGTGTGAGGGGCGTGGCAGCAGGAGGGAAAGCAGGTGCTGGTCAGCACAGGCACCCCCCGTGTGCTGGTGGGGGGGGAGGGCTTCTGGTACCCCAAGAGGGAGACCCCCGTGTGCTGGTGGGGGGGAGGGCTTCTGGTACCCCAAGAGGGAGACCCCCGTGTGCTGGTGGGGGGGAGGGCTTCTGGTACCCCAAGAGGGAGACCCCCGTGTGCTGCTGGGGGGGAGGGCTTCTGGTACCCCCAGAGGGAGACCCCCATGTGCTGCTGGGGGGGAGGGCTTCTGGTACCCCAAGAGGGAGACCCCCGTGTGCTGGTGTGGGGGAGGGCTTCTGGTACCCCCAGAGGGAGACCCCCGTGTGCTGGTCCAGGCGTGGGGCTTGGGGAGGGTTTCTGGTGCCCGGGGGAAGGTGCCCTCGTCACCATTGTAGGGAGCATCCTCGACCCTTACTTCCTGGGCTCCAGCCCATAATTACAAGCGGCGACGGGAAGCCGTCAAGGGCATGTGGTGAACTGTACCTTTGCAAGATTTAACGGTGCCTTAGATGTTTTCTTTTACACCTTTGAGGCATTAGCCATAAATTTCCTCCCAACAGCACTTAGTTCTATGCTAATGTAAGAGGTGCTAATTTTTGTACTGTATAAAAATGCCACCCAATTCAATTTGTGCAAATGAGCGAAAACAGATGGCAGGACCGAGCACTCTCCCTTTGTTTGTGGAAGGACTCCTGCCTCCAGCTCGTCTTTCTGGGGTCTGTCTCCATCAGTCATCCTGCCAGGGGTGGTGGGCTGCGGGGCAGCTCCAGCATCTCTCCACCCACCCGCAGCTCACAGCTCTGTCTCCAGAGAATTTATCCACGGCACCCAGGAGCTAGCTTGTGCTAAGCCCAGGCTTCAAACTTGACATCCTCTGCCCCTTCCTGCAACAGCCGGGGCCACCTCTGGGCTCTGGGGTTCCCCTGGGAACAGCAGTGATGGTGAGCGGTGTGGGGAGGGATGCTGGGGTGTGGACCCTCGTCTGGGAGGGCTGCAGTGTTCTGAGAGGAGCCATCACCAGCTGGGGACCTTCCCCTCCCCGCCACCATCCCCTGCTGTCTTAGTCAGCTGAGGCTGCCATTAACAAATACCGCAGACGGGGCGGCTTACACAGCAGATGTTGGTTTCTCAGGTCTGGAGGCTGGAAGTTCTCAGGTCTGGAGGCTGGAAGTCTGAGATGGAGGTGCCCACTGATTTGGCTTCTGGTGAGAACCCGCTTCCTGGCTTGCTGTGTGCTCACATGGCTGAGAGAGCTCTGGTCTGTCCCTCTTCCCATCAGGGCCCCAGCTGGGTGGGATCAGGGCCCCATTTACCCTTTATGGCCTCCTCACAAGCCTGTCTCCACACACAGTCGCACTGTGGGGTCGGGCCTCAGCATGTAAATTTCGAGGGGACACAGTTCAGGCCGTAGCACTCGCCCTGCACCAGACGGACCTCCACCCTCACCTGGTTGCTTTCGAATCCGGATCTCAGAACCTCGAGCTTTGCTCGCCGAGCAAGAACCAGCTCCCAGGTTCCTACGTGTTGCTCAGTTTCTCAGATTTGTACAAGTCTCTGTCCCTCCCAGCAGCAAATCTCAGGATGATTCGGCCCCAAGGGACTTCCAAATGCCAGGCTGGGACTAACGCAAACCCAAGCCCAACCACATACCTGTCCCCGAGAACCCCTGCTGCACCCCACAGCCCACCCCGGTTTCTTCCAGCCCCGCTCACCTCCTTTTTGTGCCTGCCCTTCCAGACCATGCGTCTCCCTGTCATCACAGTGCCCCACCCCCCACCATACCACTTCAGTAAATCGCTCCTCGCCTAAGTCCACATTTGTTTTCTATGTGATGCCTGTCACAGGGCTTCTCCTGTCCCTGGGTCCCCTGTCCTGGGGGATGCAGAGCTGACCCTTCTCAGGGTCAGCTGGGCCCCCTGAAAGAGTGAGGGGACTCGTGTCCTTGTGCACTTAGAAAAGAGGAGGAAGGGGCAGGACTCGGGGCTTCCCAGCAGAGCGCTCTGTGATGGCGTAATTCCCTGCGGCAATGGGGGAACGAGTTGGGGACAAGAAAGAGGGCCCCGAGGACCTTCCTGGGACCTTGCACCGCTGGAAGTCAGATGGACTCTCCTGCACCACCCCCCTGCCCCCATTTCTTAGGCCCCATACCTGGCTTGTGGAGGGGTGTTGGGGACCAACTGGCTACATTGCCAAGCTCCATGGGACCATAAAGTGACATTCCAGTCTCAGCAGGAGTCTGAGACTGAAGGACCCGGGGGAGATTTCGGGATATGGTCTTGCTACAGAGAGGACGAAAAGAGAGCAGAGGACCTGCCCAGGTGCCCGAGGACCAGGTGGCCCTGTCATGAACAGCAGCAGAGTCAGGCCAGGCGGAGGGACAGACGGCAGGCATGGGGTGGCCTTTAGTTGCTGCTCACACACCATCTGCAGAGGAGGACACGTCACCCTGGATTTACGCATTTGCTCAGAGTGAGCGTTCCCCCGGGGGACCTCCGACTTGGTTCTGGTTACTATTTTCAGGCAGCTTGCCCTCCGTGGCTGATTCCCCAGCTCTCACTGCTGTGGCAGAGGTGTTTCCACCCCTTCCTCGCGGGGCCGCCATGTGTGGTTTTAGGGGAAGGGAGAGGACCGACCCTGGGACAGGCTCTGGCTGGCTCCTGGGGGTGGCCTTGTCAGCACAGGATGCTGGAAGCTGGACACTCATAAAACATCATGAAATGGACTCTGTGTGGTGGCCCATCTGTCCTGGGTGAGTCAGTGTTTCCGGTGGCCCAGGTCTCTGGGGGGCGGGGGAGGGCAGCTCTAGAGCACTCTTCTGTTGGGTTCACGTGGGGACAAGCCTTGGTTTGACCTCCATGCACAAAGGAGAGGGGCAGGTCACAACTCAGTGGTGGAAATGGACTTGTCCTCAAGCGGGAGCTCAGACTGCTCGGTTCCCCTGTGAAGTCTCCGGTTCCCACTCAAGGAAAGGCAGGAGGCTCCTTTCCTCCTGAAGATGCTCACACACGGGAGAAGTGGGATGTCTGGGCGACCAGGAGGTGTGTCTCATGGGGGCGGCCAGAGGCCAGGCGTCCTGGCTCGGGTTGGAGTGGGTCTTCAGGGAGGAAACGCCCCAAAGTTGCTCTGTGTCCCCTTGGATAAGGGGCCCAGGAGAAGGGACAGGTGTCAAATAGGAGACAAATGCAGACTTTGGTAAGAAGAGACTTTACTGGACAGGACATTGCAATGGAGGGGGCACCATGGTGCCAGGGAGGCAGCGCCCCCGCGGGATCAGCAGGCATCTGAAAGATCAGGCAGAAAAGTCTTGTCCTTTTTAAAGAAGAGTAAACAGCTAGAAAGAGCGGGGTGGAAGTATGTGGAAGAGTGGGTGACAGGGCAGCAGAACAGAGGGCGCTGTGGCCCGAGGCCGGCCCGTCTTGGCCTCGGCTGAGGGTAGGGCTAAGTTCAGGGGCCTGCTGGGGGTGGGAGGAGCTCAACCAAGTTTGTTCCTGTTGATCAGTTGACAGTTCAGCTAATCATTTGTGGGGCAAAGAATGGGGGTCTGGGGTCCGAGTCTGGCCTTGTCCTGGGTAAACCAGGGGCATCCGTGAGTCTTACCCGAATCATACAGGGTGGAGGGGGTCTTGGCAGGGAGCTCTTTCTGGACCACAAAGCCTGGGGACATTTCTTTAACCATGGCTGTTTCCCAGGGTCCCAGGGCTGGGATCAAGTTCAAGATTTTCACAGGGTCTGTCTCCCCGGCATTAAGTAACCAGGGAGAGGTCCAGCTCAACCTGGCCTGGAGAGGCAGGTGACTACCGAGGTCACGTGGCAGCTGGAGGCACAGCTGGTAGGAGGACCCAAGGCCTCTGATTCCCAGTTCAGGTCTTTTTCAGTTCAGGAATTTTGCTGCCAGAACAAAAGAGCCGATGGGGAATGGGCAATGGCTTCCCTCGGGCTCCTGAGTCAGGTGCCCCTATAGGAGTTCCCGTGTGAGCAGTGGGGCCGTGGGGCAGGGGGGTGAACTGTGCAGACCCCACCCCATCTAAGGAGAGCGCTGCCTCTCAGCTCCAGATGCCTGTCGTCACAAGGAGCACAAGCCCAGTCTCATGGCATCTTCTGATTTTTCAAGAGAAGCAAGATAGCAGGATTTATTCACTTTTACTGAAAACAGGCTTTTCAAATCGAACAAAACAAGTCTGTGAATCAGATGCGGCTCTTTGGCCTCTGGTTCGAGCCTTCTGCCAGAGCCCTCCTGGCTCTCTGCTTTGCCAAATTAGGGCAACGATTAATTCATATTTTACTAGTCCACTCACGTTCTGTCTTAGCGTCCCTGCTAATGGTAGTGATCATTTTGTTCTGTGTTAGGTATCTTTGGATGTGAATTAGCTCAAGAGATGGGGGCTTATTTTAAAGGTAACATCGAGGAATAAAGGTGGCAGAGGCTCCTGGAAATCCAAGGCAGGAGCTGCGACAGCCGATGTTTCTAGCAGGAGGCACAGCCCCAGGGCACTTCGGGGGACCTCGGCAGTCAGGCTCTGCCATCGACAAGGTGACGTCACCTCCGTGGGTCTGTGCTGTCTCCATGCAGTAGCCACCGGTATGTTACGTCTCATTTTTCTATCTCATCGCTTTCCCTTACTTGTAACTGCAGCAAGTAAGAGCCTCTCGTGCCCCTGTCCCCACAGGGTCCCAGGTCTAACTCATGGCCCATCTCTCTAAGTATCTTTTGAGTTTCAGCTCTCACTACGAAACGTCTTATTCATTTGATGTTTATTGTTCCTGTTTTTTAAGTAAAGGGATTTTTTCTTGGCAGCCCACCCCACAGGTTGTGGGTCAGCGTGTGGACTTGTTACTCCGCTCAGGTGTCCACTCCAGTCCAGCCAACTCAACTGGAGGACAAGGCCCAGGGTCAAGGACTATAAACCGTGGCGGCCGAAGGTCTGCCCACCTGGTAGGGCTCGCGGGCCGGGCACTTCTCATCAGGAAGGGCCATGGCTGGAGGCAGATGTCTGACATGGTCATCCTTATAGCTCATCGAACTTTCCTGAAAGCTGGTTTTACGAGGGTCTACTGACTCAGTCCTAGAAATAGAGAGCACTGCCGTGGCTGTTTGGTGACAGCAGATCCAGGTCCCTCTTCTCAGAAAGGAGGCCTATCCAGGAATATCGTTGGTTGAATCCCAACTCATCTCACTTTGAATAGAGTCATGCGCTTGCAAATTCTGCATATTTTACTTTTATTATTGATTACTTACATTTTACTTTCTGTATTTTTGAAAGAGGGAGTAAATAAGTTCAGATAAAAGGTCGAGACCTCAGGTTGTTAGAATTAGAGGTCACTTTGATTCGTGTCCTTCATCTGTCCCGCTCTGGACACCACTGGCTTCTGCCCCTGCAGGGCCACGCCCACACGTGGGGCCCTCTTCCCCGGCCCGGGGCCTCCTGCTCAAACCAGTCAGCCTCCCCAGGGTCCGGCCGGTGCTCGTTACCTATCTGTTGTAGTCAGTTTAATCGTCTGGTTGAACCTTCTCAAGTTAATTTTCTAAGGGGTCTCAAGGAAGTGAAGTGGTTTTAAAATAACCAAAACAGTTTTCAGAGTTTCTGCCGCCGCCCGTGAAGGAGTAGCTGGGGTGGAACTTGTGCTCGCTCTTTTGTTTTTGCCAAAAGAACTAGAAAGCTGGACAAAATATATGAAACAACCGGATTTGGACATCAGGACCACAGGCTGCGCAGGACTGTGATCCCTAAGAGACAGGAAACAGATGAAGCGAGGTGTCCAGTCCACTCGGTTTTCTTCCTGGAGGCAGCGTTCCTACCACCGCAGGGAGGGGAGAGCGGACAGCGCGTGGCCGTCTGCAGAAGTGAGGAGGCGGAGGCTGGGCCCTGGGGATGCTGCCGGCAGAGCAGCAGAGAGGAGATCCAAATGTCTCATCAGGTCCCCTGGAGCGGTCACTGAGCCGGAATCTACGCACGCACAGGGGGAAACTCCATGAGGCGGGCGGAGAATGGTGAGTGGTAAGCTGAACAATTCCTGGAGCTCAGGCCGGGGAGGGAGACGCGTGCCTTCCATCTGGCCAGGTGGGAGAGCTCACGGAACACTTGGGGGCGGGTGATGACTGGAGGCCACAGGGTCCTGCCTTCAGGAGGTGTGAATTAGCCCCAGATCGAGTGTGCTTAAATATACCCCGAGGAAACTTACACTTCCCGAGGACCCGCCTCCTCTGAAGGCAAGAACATCCAGCCTGATACAATGTTGACCACTTTATGTTGTGTTTATAGGAACTGTTGTTCCGAAGGTCTTTTAAAACTCCTTGTGCAATAGTTTGATGCACAGAAAGATACAGAAGCACATCACTAGTCTGAGGGGAAAAAATGGATGCCAAAGCTGCTGGTCACATGTGAAGCCAGCCTCCACGGAACTCGCTTGGTACGACCTCTCATTCACCTTGAGAGAATCAGGGGAGAAGCTATAATTCCTTCACTGCCAAATATGTGAGGTAATTAGACAGCAAGCTGGGTTTGCCCCTGGGAGGGCCCTTTCTAACGTATGATTATTTTTATTTGCCTTGAATCTTTGAGATCTGGTCTTTCTAGAACGCTCTTAGTGGGCCATGCTTGTTTTTCACCTGCTTCCCCCTTTTCTTCTGGTGCCCGCCTTGCCCTTCCTCCTGACTCTAATCCCAGGCGACGCTTCTGGTCAGAGCTCCCTGGCTATGAGAGTACCCCTAAAATGGACATCTGGTCAGAGTCGGGCCGATCAGAGTGCTCCGTGCCCCCAACCACAGGGCCTGATCCAGAGATGAGGTCTGAAGTCCCCCCCCTTAACCAGCAAGCCTCCCAAAATGGCCATCTAGAAATATTTTTTCTGGAGCCATTTACTTTCTCCAGTGTTGATGGCCCCAGTCTCCAAGCTGGAAGGGACGGAGATGGGAGAGCTGTGGTCCACTGCATTCAGCCAGCGTTCTCCAGAGAAACTCAACCAGTAGGATATATATATATATATGTGAGGAGATTTAATATAGGGATTGGCTCACACGGCTGTGGAGACCGCAAAGCCCCAGGATCTGCCGTCTGGAAGCTGGAGACCCAGGAGAGCGATTAGTATAATTCAGTTCGAGCGTGAAGGCCCTAGAGTCAGGGAGCTGGTGGTGTAATCCTGGTCTGAGTCTGAAAACCCGAGGACCAGGAGTTCTGATGTCTGAGGAGGAGGAGATGGATGTCCCCCCTCCAGAGAGAGCTCGAATTGGCCCTTCCTCCACCTTTTTATTCTATTCAGGCCCTCAACGGATCAGATGAGGCCCACCCACACTGATGAGGGCATCTTCTTTACTCAGTCTACCAGTTCAGATGTGAAACACCCTCACAGACACACCCAGAAATAATGTTTTACCAGCTATCTGGGCATCCCTTACCCCAGTCAAGTTGACACAAAATTAGCCATCACACACACTATGTAAGCTTTCACCGAAGCCCCCTGTTTCAGCCATGTGCCTCACTCCTGACCTCCTCTGTGCCTGATATTCCTGGATCCAGAGTATTAATGCTTTAATCTTTCACATAATGCAACTCCAGATTCTTCATTTTTATTTTTTATTTTTTAAAGTATGCTTTTTGTTGTTGTTGTTGAGGAAGATTGGCCCTGAGCTAACATCTGTTGCCAATCTTCCTCTTTATTTTTCTCCTTTTCTTTTCTCCCCAAAGCCCCAGTACGTGGTTACAGATCCTAGTTTTAGGTCATTCTAGTTCTTCTGTGTGGGATATTGTCACAGCATGGCTTGATGAGCGGCATGTAGGTCCACACCCAGGATCTGAACTGGCGAACCCCGGGCTGCCAAAGCAGAGCACGTGAACCCAAATACTTGGCCACGGGGCTGGCCTTGAAACTCCAGATTCTTATGGGAAAATGCCCGGCATGAGGCCTGGAGGGAGACCTCCACGCTTTCAACCAACTCCCCTATTTTAGCTCTCCAGTTGACCCCGCCTTCCATGGTATTGGGGCATCCAGTCCCTGGGCTGTTCTGGGGTTCTGACACACATCCTGAAGTATTCTTTTACTGAGTGTCTGTGAAAAATAAGTACGTCTTGTCTTTGTTTTTCTGAAATGGCTTTAGTTCGTCCTCATTGCAAAGAGTAGTTAGCTGGGTATAAAATTCCAGACTGACAACAATGTTTCTTCAGCATTTTGGAGACACCACTTCAAGTCTTTGGCATATGCTGTTCTTGATGAGAAGTCTGTTGGCAGCTCAACTGTTTCTCCTTTGTAGGAAATCTTCCTCCCTAGTAGCTTTTAAGATTTTTGTTTGTTTGTGTTTATTTATCCTGTCTGTCTGAGTACTCGTGTCTCCAATTCTGAAAAGTTCGGAGCCATCCCCTCAGAATGCCCCACAGAGTCACAGTGCCTGAGTGCAGTTTCCTCTATTTTCTACAAATGGAACTTCCGATACACATGTGCTAAATCTTCTCTGTCTGGCTTCCATGTCATTTAACTTTTCTTTCATATTTTCCTTTCTTTAACATCTCTGTATTGTTTTCTTGGTCGGCTCCTCTACAAACTTCCAACTCACTAATTATTTCCTCTTCTGTGTAGCATTTATTCCACTCATTGAGGTGTTAAAAAAATTTCGTGGCCATATTTTTCATGTCTACCACTTTTGATGGGTTCTTCCCTGTGTTCTTCTGTCCTTGATTGATAGTCTTCTTGGTTTGCTGTCTAATCTCTGAAGATTTCAAGCGTGTGGCATGTTACAGTGTCTGTTCTGATTGCTTTATGGTTTCGTTTCTTCCACTGGTTAAGCTTATTGGCTGGGTTCTGTGGTCTTGATTTTTCTGAAATGTTTTGGAGGTTGAGTTTGTAAGTTCATCTTAAGTAGGTGTTTTCTGTTTTATTTTCTTTCCCCCCTCTCCTCCTCGCTCACCCCTCTGTACGAGCACTTTTGTAGCTGCCTCCAGTAGGTCCACAATTCAGAACCAGGTCTGACTTCATCCGACTGGGATTTCCTCCCTCGGCCATGCAATGCCATGGCCACCATGGCTGAGGTTCTGGTTGCATGGTTATCTCTGGCCTTTGCAGGTAGCAGCCTCTTTTTGGCCCCATTTGTAGGTGGAGAAGCCCCATGCCAGCCCAGTCCCAGCCTCTGCAAGCTCCTGGTCCAGGCATCAAGCCTGGCTCAGCCTCTATCCAGGTTTGTCACATGCCGGTGTTTGTGTCTCCCTCCCACGGCAGGCTGAGCCAAGCTTGCTGAGGGAATCCAGCATCTTTGTCCCACTTTGTGCCATGCCCATGGTCTTTATTATTAGCCAGGGGGCAGGGGTGGCTGAGGAGAAGCTAATCAATCCTCCTGTGGGTCTGCGGTGGTGAACAGTGGTGAAATTAAGATGAGGGAGTTGGGCTGGCCCGGTGGCACAGCGGTTAAGGTTGTGGGCTCTGCCTCGGTGGCCCAGAGTTTACAGGTTTGAATCCCGGGTGTGGACCTACACACTGCCCACCAAGCCATGCTGTGGTGGCGTCCCACATACAAAATAGAGAAAGAGTGGCACAGATGTTAGCTCAGCGACAATCTTCTTCAAGCTAAAAGAAAAAAAGAGGAAGCTTGGGAATAGATGTTAGCTCAGGGCCAATTTTCCTCACCAAAAAAAAAGATGAGGGTATGATTGCAGGGCATTGGGACCCACATGGCTGCACCCAGCGCTCATGCCCCATGTGAGGTGGGCTCGGCTGTTGAGGAAAAGCAGACCTGCTGGTTTAGAAGTTTAGAAAAAGACAGTTCAGGTGGACGAAGTAGGAGAAAAGAGCTGACTATTTTAGAACATTTGTCTTGTTTTTCTTTTCCTGCTTCTTGTTCCAGCTAACAGGAGTCCTGCGTGTCACTAGGCTCTGGGCATGGCCTGTCCATTGTTTTGTGCCTGTTGTGCCGTCCTTCAGCGAGGGAGCGTTCCTGCCGTGGGAGCTCTTGGAATGAATGCAGGAAGCCCAGCTCACAGCAGGTGCTCGGCCAGCGACGCTCGTCACCTTCATTGCTCTTTTCTGAGCAGCAGTCACCCATTCTCTCCGATGCCTCTGCTGCCAGGTGGGCTGGGATCCCCGTCCTTCTGGAACTTACTTTACTGCTCCTTCCTTCGGCTGTTGCCCCTCCTGCTGGCCAGTCGTTCTCTGGTCTCCTTAGATGAGGTAGGCGCCTCCCTGGACCTCTAGGATTGGGGCTGCAGGCTACTTTGCTTGACTTTTGGAAGATTCCAGAACTTTGTCCCTGCCCTGGATGAGTTATTTGTCATCACCTCATTCATTTCCCTGCAGACATGGCCAGTAAATCTGCTCAGATGAGACAGAGGCGTGGGCTTAATTTGGGGGTCCGGGGGTTGTGCTGGAGAGATGGACCTATTGGAATTGGTTTTGGGGAGAAACAATGAGATTCCTGCAGTGGGGGTGCCCAGCCAGTCTTCTCTGAGCACAGCCACCTGGGGGCCCAGCTGCAACGCCGGCCTCCTGCCTCTACCTGTGGCTGGCTTCTCGGTGGCCATCAGGACCAGGGTGTCCCCTTCTCACAGCACTGTTTCTGGGGGCACCCCTTCCGGGGCCTGCTCGTTTTAACAGGGCCCCGCTCTCCAAGCTGCTCAGTTTCAGAATCCTTCGGCAGCCTGGGGAGATCTAAGGTCACCCTGGGCTCCCGGCGTCACCGCCGCCGCCTCCAGGAAGCCATGGAGTCCAGTAACCGGAGGGAAAGGCCTCTTCCCCCTTCCTTGAGGTTCCCTGAGTGGGCTCCTCCTCTGAATTTGCAGAAGATTCCATGTGCCACAGTGAAGGCTCCTGTCTCAGGAGGGCAGTGACCGGACTCCCAGGGCCACGTGGAGGGAGCCTCTCAGAGGGGAGGTGCCTTTCAGTGATTTGATGGTGAGACTGAGTTGGCTACAATTTTTCAAACTGATCCTTCAACCTGTGAGTGAAAGAAAACCATAACATCCTACAACATTGTGCTGGGGGGAGGGAGGGGGGACCAGTGGCCTTGATTTCTTTCCAGCTGCTGTCAGTTGGGTGCCCCGAGACCCCCTTCCCCAGCAGCCAGTCTGTCCTTGTCTGTCATTAGGAGCCATTCTAGGCAGAGGGCTTGAGCAAACAGTGTCCCAGTGGGTTGCATGCCAGCGGCATCGCGCTGCAGCATCCGGGGCCTCCAGTCATGCCGCGTCTCTGGGCACTAAGGGCATCCTGGGGACTGGGGGCCCCATAGGGAACCATGGGACTGGGGGTCTGCCTGAGAGTGGCCACTCCCCAGACAACAAGCTTCCATCAGTTAGAACGTTGTTTCTTTGCTTCTAGTGGAATTTAATCATCTCTGTGACTTGACACCATCTCACAAAGAGCGAAAGTTGATTGGCAGTCAATGTTTGGTCAATTAAACAAGGGGAGAAGGGACTGAATTACTTCTTGGCAAACACAGCTTGCTTGAGCGTCAGTGAGCAGCTGCCGCATGGCTACACGCTGGGCACAGTGGCTCAGGGGACAGCTTTCTTTGGGCAAGTATGGCAGGGGTTCCTAGTGGACCCCATGTCCATCCTCCCTTTCCGGATATGTGGCCCCACAGATTATGACTCCACCTCCCAGCCTCCCTTGAAATCAGACAAGGCCACACAGGCTGTGAGTGGAAGGGGTGAGTTCAAGTTCCAGAAGGGGCCAGTAAAGGTAAAGACTGTACCTCCAATTCCCCTTGCCCCTTCCAGCCTCCTGGAACCTAGACATGAAGGAAGGAGCTGGAGCAGCCATCTTGGGCTGTTGAAACTGCGTTGTAAGGATGGCAGAGCAACAACATGGAAGGAGTCTGGGTCCCACGTGCACTGGAGCAGATGCCCGGACCTGTGTCTGAAGGAGAGATCTCTGTCTTGCTTCTGCTGCTGTGTTTGGGGTCTCTGTTGCAGCAGCACAGCCCGCACCTTCACTCGTCACAGCCAATACTCGCCCTCGTCCGAGGCTTCCTCCTGGCCCCACCCTAAGGCAATTGTGACTTGCAAATCTTCACTATGACTTTATTTTCAAAGTTTACTTGATTAGACTCATTTGATGAGAGATGACAGTTGAGGTTCCCAAGACTCTCCCTTTTTAAAATATTCCCTCATTATTATTCCCTCCCTTTCTCCTCTTTCCCTCTGCCCTCTTCGTTTCTTGGCTTCTCTTTCTGAGAGCCGGGGGCCGATGTCAGGGTCTGATGATTTCCTGGCCCTGCACGAGCTTGAGGTTGCCAGCTGTTCCCACTCTCCTTCTGCTTTCTTCTCCTCGCTCCCCTCCCCTCTCCCGACATCCCAGGCCTCACCAAAAGGAAGCAAGAAAGCTTAAGAGAAAGGCGGGGGGTGTACCAGAAAGTCGCTCCTGGCCTCCGGCCCCTGATGTGCTTCATTCTTTGCTGAAAAAGCTGGTGGGGGGCTGGAATCCAGCGAGGGAACCAGAAATCCCAGGGTCTTGCCTTTCTTTTATTTTGTGCACTTTTTTTCCCTGTTTTTTTCCAACATTATAGGCCTTCGGGTCTGCTATGTTTTCTTTCACTTTTTAGCATTTCGGCTCCAGGCTTGGTTTAATCGAATCCACTTTTAAGTTCAATGAGTGCTCCTGATTGTAAACGTGTCTTCCGCCTTTATTCCCATCTTAGGGACATTTCTGGGAATTGAAATAGTTTCCTGCTAAATGATGCTTGTCCCTGGTTCCAGGAACAGGTGAGAAGCGAGGGCAGCAGGAGGAAGGGAAAGATGTGCGGCCGCGCCCCCAGGTTCATCACGTCAGAGTCCCGGATGGCCCTTGCCACTGTGGCTCATCCTCTCCTCGTTTCACGGCTGCACCATTTTACGGGTAATACTTCCCTCAGCCTCAGGCCCCACCAGAGAGCTGGTACTTCCTCTTCTTGGAACAAACAGCTCAGCAAGCTCCTGAGAAGTCTCTGGCTGCCAATTTACAATGTCAGTTTCTGCAGACAAGAGGCCTCCCTCCCACAGCTGGAAGTGGACACTGGCCTCTCTGGCCAAGTGGGGGCCCTTCACCTGGGCCAGCAGCTAACGAGGAGGGAGGAGCGGATGGAGGCAGAGGGGGGATCTCTGTAGACACCTCCGTGGCTGGGGGTGAAGTTTTGGGGCCGAGAGAGCCCTGCACAGCAGGTGGGCTCTGGATAGTGGCCGGGCTGGGTGAGGGTTCTGTCATAAGTCAGGTCCGGGGTCTGGTGGGGCAGCAGGAGCCTGCTTTGGGCCACAGGACTTGGGAGATGTCTAGAGGGTTTTGAAAGGCCACATGCCTTCCTGGACAGGAGTGGGCAGTCCCATTGTCTGGGGAGTTGTTGACGGTATTTGGACAGTGGGGCAAATGCCAGCTTTAATGGGTCTCAGGCCCTCAGGGCCCACCCCTGTGGGGAATGGAAGAGTGGACACTGTCCAGGGCTCCCCACCGGTCCCAGAGGCCCAAGAGGTATCATGGTCAGCACAGGTGACCCTAAAACGTCTGCAGAGCCCTGAGACCAAACCCTGGGAAGTGTGGACACAAGGACCGAAAGCTCCCACTGGTGGGACTTCCAAGAAATGGGTGAAGGGAGGCATGAAGGAGTGAATGCTGCAGCTGCTCCATCAGCTGCTCCGGAACCTGGGCTCCGGAGGGCAGTGCCCACCCTCATAGGGGCGTGCGGGGGAGGCAGTGGACTTGAGCCTGCCCAGCGAAGGTGCTTCATCAGTGACCCTCTCCAGACCAGGCCACAGAGGGGTATGTCCCTGCACCAGGGAGACAGGGAGGCCCACATGGGGGTCAGTCGGCTCCTTGTTGGTGAAGGACCCCCTACACTCTGGAGCAGCCAGCGGGACCACAGACCAGGCTTGCCCCAGTCTCCCCTCCTCCCAACCAGAGGTAGGAGCGCTGGCATTTCAGCTGGAAATCAAAGGGTGGGATTGCTTGAGCTGGTGATGGCGGGGTCCAGAGGCCTGGGGGGTGATGTCAAGGACGACCCCTTCTCAGCGTAAAGAGGCAGATGGCAAAGGCAGGATCTCTGCCCCCAGTCACGAAAGCCCCCTTCCTCCCACAGCCGCTCGGTGTTAAGCCTTGTTTTGGTCCTGGAAACAGCGCTTATCTTGGTCTCTCTCCATCTCTGTCAGCATCTCTTCAGTGCCTCCCGAGTGTTGGCACAGCTGGCAGGATGGCCGTGGGGAGGAAGGGGACCCCTCTCAGCCCAGCTGGGAGCCCGTTACTTCTCACTCACGATGTTGTGTGTGTTTTAGAATCAGCAGAGACCAAGGAGAAGGAAGGGAAAGGAAAACCAGCCCTATGCGAGTGTGTGGGAGAAAGGTCCACGTCGTTGGGGCAAGAGCCTTGTGACTGCAGAGGGACACCCCCTGGCGCCCCTCCCGCCACCGGCCTGGACGAGGTGGAGGGCGGGGTCTCTGTGGTCAGCACAGCTCTCTGCTCTGAGCCTCTGCTGAAGGACACAGGGGGCTGCTGACTGTTAAAGGATCGTCGCTACGGGTCAATGCCAGGTGGTTCTGGCTTCTTTGGGACAGGATGCTGAGACCTGGAGAGTGGGCCAGGAACCCCTGAGCCCTGGAGGGAGGCAGGGCCTGGGAGGGGGGCTTGGAGGCCGGGACCAGGGTCCTTGGAGGCTGTGGGGGGCGTGGGGGAAGTTTGCTCTCACCTGGACGTGATGGAAACTAGGAGAACCTCCCAGGGCCCCGCTGTTGACTGCCATCCTCCCAGGAGTGGTTTTGTCCTGTTATTTGCCTGGGCCTGCCCTGCCTCTCCCTCTGGGTTCCAGCCCACGTCCTGGGGCTCCCGGCCATTGAGTCAGCAGTGGGGCTGATGGTTCCCAGGTCACCCTCATCAATAAGGGGGCTGTCCCCTTGGGAATGGGGGAGGAGAGCAGGCCAGGACCTGGAGGGGAGGGATGAGCCCTGTGGGGAGCAGGGAGGAGGAAGAGATGCAAGCCAGGGGCTGGGTGGGGGCTGAGGAGTGGGCACTGAGCTAGCACTGGCCACACGGGGTCTGGGTGGGGGGCATCGGGGAGAAGCCAGCAGGTGGGGCCTCGAGCCGTGATGAGTCAGCCCCGTTTTCTGAATGGTGCAGCATTGGCGCGAGTCACAGCAGCCAGACCCCAGGAACAGAACCCCAAGAGCCACTCTGCTCCCCGATGCTCCCTGTGGGGTCTGTCTGGGTCAGGGTCATGACCTGAAAGCTGAGGGGCAGAGGCAACTGTCCTCAGAAACAAGATGGCTCGTCCCCTGCTGGCTGCGGCAGGTGATCCCCCTTCCCCGCGAGCACTGGCCTCTCGGTCTCCCTGCCCCGAGGCCAGCAGCCCCCTTCATGCTCAGGAGACAGCCAGGGAGGCTGGGGACCAGCTCTTGGAGGCTAGTTTAGGGATAAAGGCCGTCCACAGGCTTGGAACCCCAGGGCTCTGACCACTCCCTGCCCTGTCCCCAAGTGCTCTAACCGCATCAGAAAACACCCCCAACAGCCTCTGAGGGGTTGCTGTGCACTCGAAACATGAGCGGTGCTCGCTCCCTGGTGGCTGGTCAGCGCTGGCACACGGTTTGAGAAGGCATGGCCTGGTGGGCCAGAGGCTGTGTTCCAGGTCCTTGTGGCGCCCCTGCCTCCAACAGTGCGGGTGCACGTGTTCGTGCAGAGCCTTCCCAGAAAGCGCGCATGCTGGGTGTGGGGCATCCGGGAGAAGGGAGAGGACAGCAGAGAGCTGGTGGTGAGGTCGGGCTCCTGTGGCACCCTCCCCAGTGTGGGCGGGGGGCAGCCGGGTGTTTTCCCACCACGGAGGCCTCGCCGACTGGTGAGGGCTAGGGACGCAGCTTTCCCGAGGGTCAGGGCAGTGCTGGTCTCCAGGACCCCGTCCTGCAGCTCACTTTGAAATCAGCCCAGGGGGATGCAGCCTGAAAAGCCACTCCATGTCCGTTTGAGGACAGCCGCCGTCTGGGCCTGAAGGATCACAGTGTGAAGTCATGGGTTGGAAAAGGGCAATTTTCCTCCTATTCTCTGAAGTTGCGCTCTTCATGCAGAGATTTCCTGGGAACCCCATTAAGTTTCCCTCTCAGGCAGATGGCCTTGTAATTACCCCCAGATGGGTGGCCACTTGACCTTCCTGGGGTGGTCCCCGGCAGAGACAGGCAGCTAAGTCCTCCCTGGCTTGCCGGAACCCACCCTCTGCCCCCCTGGCCGTCACCACCTTCCAGACAGAAGCCCCTGACGCCCGGCTGGCATTCACCCTGGGCAGCTGGGTGCAACCTGTTTGGAATTTGTGATGGACTGAAGGATGCTTCTCTCTTTCTGCCTGTGGAAAAGGGGGCGCAAAGCGGAGAAACGTGGAAGAAAAAATCCCAGGGGGTCTGTCTGCCTGAGTTAGGGCTGAGCTTCAGTCCATCTCTGGATAGGGCTCCTGGGAGCCCGTGACCGTGCTGTAATTAAGGAGGCAGCCTCGGGGGTGTGGGTCTTGAGTGCCCCTGAGGCTGTCTCAGAACAACGGCCGCAAACACCCAGGACCCAACAACAACCAGAAAGGGTTATTCCAACAATTTTAGTTTTAAAAACGACACCCACACCTCTTCCACTTGACCCAGATCCTGCTTTTCTCTGCAGCCTCGTGCGGTACCCACGGCTGCCTTCACGGTGCGGGAGCACGAGCCCTCCCTTCTCTCCTTTCTTGTGCTGGCTCTGGTTTTTCTAGAGGTTCTGTCGTATTGGCTGCATGGTGACAGACCCTACCTGCTGTGCCCTGATCACCCCCGGGGCTGCTCCCACTGTCCCCTGCAGCCTGTGCTGCCTGTGCACCGTCCCGCTCATCACCCTGTGACTCTTTGGGGCTATTTCCTTGGAATGAATTCCCAGGATTGCCAAGGGCCTGCTCCGTCTTCTGGCTCCCTCAGGACACCGTCTGAGAAACGGGGACCTGGGCACAACAGGGACGGGAAGGCGCACGTTCTCCCAAGGCCCAGCCAGTGTGCATTTGACGACTTCCTCCTTTTGTTAAATTCAAAGGTGTGCGAGGATGTTCCCTTCACTGTCACATTTTCTCACCAGAAAGTGGAGCGTTTTCCAGAAAGCTGGAGCATCCGGAACCCACACTTTATAAAGTTATGTCCACTCCGCTGTGCGGTCAATCGAGAAGCAGGGGAGCGTGGCTTTTCCTGCCCTTCTCCATAAATGTGCAATTCCCTGGCTACAAAGACCCGTCCTGTGGCATCACGTGGTAGGAAGATAATTGGAGCTAACGTGGTGGAGAGGGTTGAAGCCCTCTCATTGTCAGGAAATGACTTGCTCTGACGTGCATGGGCTCCGTCATCCCTGTCGATGGGCCCATCCTCCGTGGGGTCTTTTACGTCCTTTGGTGACGGAAACAAACCCTTTGGGATGGAGTCTGACAGGGCCTCTCAGAGGTGATGCCTCCCTTTTATGAGTCTCCAGTTTACGCAAAATAAAAGATCCAAATCAGGGCTTCAGAAATTGTGGCACTCACTGTTTGTATTTGATGAATTGACGTTTAGCACATAAAAATCAAATGCCATGTAATTGGATTATTCAAAATAAAGTTACAAGATCTATTAAGAATATTACTTCATGGTGCTAGTGGCTAGTGGGGTCAGGTTTAAAGGCGTCAGGAGACTCCGGTTGCCTTCCGTCCCGCTGGCGAACTCTGAGGCTCCGTGCAACCTTGGTCCCTGGTGAAGGGGAGCCCCAGGCCCTCCTGGAGCCCCCGCCCGCCCCCAGGTGGGCCTTGGGTCTGGCCTTCTGTCTTCCCGTCACCGACTAAGGAGCCCAGTTCCTTAGCTTAGAGTTCAAGGCTCCACAGTCCTGCCCCCTGGCAAAATAGCCAGCTGGACTCCTTTGTAGTCACAGTGGTCTGCTCATGCTCCCCAGTTTGAGTATTAGAGTGAGCTGGATGGTGGCCCCCAAAGGTATGTCTACCTCCTGATGCTCAGAACTTATGTGGCAAAAGATGTGAGTAAGTTAAGGGTCCTGAAAGGAGGTATTTATCACGGCTTGTCAGCTGGGCCCTACATGCCATCACATGTGCCCTCATAAGGGAGAGAGAGGGGGATCAGTCAGATTTATAGGGTGATGGCATATGAAGATGGAGAGAAAGAGATGGGGGTCACAGCTGGGAACGCCTGGAGCCACCAGAAGACAGGAGAGGCTAGGATCCTCCCCTGGAGCTGTCAGAGGGAGCACGGCCCTGCCCACACCTTTATTTCAGACTTCTGGCCTCCAGACTGTGGGAGAGCCAATTCCTGTTGTTTTGAGCTTCCAGGTGAGTGGAAATTTGTTCTGGAAGCTCTAGGAAACTCATACAGGTATTTTCGTCTTTGTGTGTTTGCTATTGTCATCTTCATACTTGGAGTTCACCCCGGTCTTCTCCCAGCCTGGCCAGGCGCAGTCTCTAAGGCCAGGCTGAGCGTGTCTGCCCACCTTGCTGGCAGCTCTCAGCCCGGCCTGCACGCGAGGACCTGGGCTATAACACATGCAGTTCCCTGGTCCTGGCCCCGGGGGCTCTGACTGCTTGTCTGGGCTGCAGCCTGGGCACAGGGTAGGAACACCTCACCGCAGATCCTAACTGAGTGGTCTGAGCCCAGGCTGGTCCCACACGGAGTGGAGAGCGGGGTGACTGAGGTGGGCACCCTGAGACACAACAGTGACATGCCCTGAGAGACGACAGGGAGACGCCCTGAGATGCGACAGTGAGACCCTCGGACACGACAGTGAGATGCCCCAGAGATATGACAATGAAATACCCCTACACACTCTCGAATGGCTGCAACACGGTAGTGACCACACCAAATCCTGACAGTTGTCGAGATACTGGGTCCCTCCTACCTGGCTGGTGGGAATGGAAAACAGTGCAGCCGCTCTGAAAAGAGTTTCGGTGTTTCTTTCTTTTTTTTTTTTTGAGGAAGATTAGCACTGAGCTAACATCTGCCACCAATCCTCCTCTTTGTACTGAGGAAGATTATCCCTGAGCTGACATCCGCCACCAATCCTTCTCTTTTTGCTGAGGAAGACTGGCCCTGAGCTAAGATCCGTGCCCATCTTCCTCAACTTTATATGTGGGATGCCTGCCACAGCATGGCTTGACAAGCCGTGCGTAGGTCTGCACCTGGGATCTGAACCAGCGAACCCCAGGCCGCCCAGGTGGAATGTGCAAACTTTACCGCTGTGCCACTGGGCTGGCCCACTTGGTGTTTCTTAATGAAACTAAACGTCTCCATTTATCCCAGAGACAAAGACTTATGTTCACACAAAAGCATGTACACAACTGATATGAAGATTTCACAAAAAATTAAAAATAGAAATACCATATGATCCAGCTATCCTACTACTGGATATTTATCCAAAAATACTTGAAACCAACCATTTAAAGAGACTCATGCCTCCGTATGTACATCACAGCACTATTCACAATAGCCAAGATGTGGAAGCAACCCAAGTGCCCATCAATGGATGATCGAACAAAGAAGATGCAGTGTATATATACAATGGAGTACTACTCAGCCAGAAAAAAAGACAAATTAGTGCCATTCGCAGTAACATGGATGGACTCGGAGAGTACTTTGGTAAGGAAAATAAGTCAGACAGAGAAAGACAAACACCATATAATTTCACTCATATGTGGAAGATAAACACACTGATAAGGAGAACAGATTAGTGGTCACCAGGTGGAAGGGCTGGGGGGTGCGTGAAAGGGGTAAAGGGCACGTATGTAGGTGATGGATAAAAACTAGACTATTGGTGGTGAACACGATGCAGCCTATACAGAAACTGATATATAATAATATATACCTGAAATTACACCATGTTATAAACCTATATGACCTCGATAAAATAATTTTTTGAAAAAGTGTGTACACAACTGTTAATTGCAGCTATACTCATAATCGCCCAAACTCGAGGCAAGCCAGATGTCCTGTAGCAGGTGAGTGGCTGACCCTACCGCGGTCCAGCCAGGCCGTGGAGCGCCACTCAGCAATGAAAAGGGTGAACTTGACACACACAACAACTTGCACGGCCCTTTGGAGACTGGGCTGAGTGACAGAGGCCCGTCTCCGAAGCTAACGTGCTGTCTGATTCCGTTCATGTTGCCTTCTTGAAGTGAGAGAATTGTAGGACTGGAGGACAGGTTAGTGGGTGCCTGGCGTTTGGAGCGGAGAGGGGGTGCAGTGGCTCCAGTGGGGCAGCACGAGGGTCTTCTCGATGGGACAGTGTGATGGTCACACAGAGCCACACGGCGGCTAAAATTGCAAAGAACCGAAGTCACACATGCACACGCACAAACACGTGAGTGGGTATAAACTAACGACGTCTGAGTAAGGCTTTGAGTGTGTCAGTGTCCATTGCTTGCCTCCATCCGGGAGCATATAAATAAATGCAGATATGAAGAGCGTATCATCAGCCTAGCGGCACTGGGGCAGCCCTTCCTGACCCCAGTGCTGTGGCCACAGGACACAAGGCACAGGGACCCTGAGAATGGGCCCTGCCCGGGTGTGGAGCCCCTGAGGCCTGCCTCTGTCCTCACCCCTGTGCAGCCAGCAGCAGCATGAGGCTGGGCAGAGACGGAGGTGTGGGGCTGGGGAGGTGACCGCCGCGCCGGTCCTTTCTGCCGGAGCCCGCTTCACATTTATCTGGCTTTATCCCGGGGAGACCTCCAGGGCCTTAGTTTATGGCTTCGGCTGGAGCCCCTTTTCCTGGCAGGACCGGAGGCATGGCCCTAAATAGAAACACCATTCATAGGGAGATGTTCCCATGGACGAAGGAGGAGAGATGCTTATACAACTTGCGTCAAGATAGACTCACGTTTCTCCTGCTTAGAGGGCGGGAGGAGAGTCTTGACTAAGCTCCTTACGACGTAGAGGGGCTTCCGCCAGCTGGGAGCTGGGGGCCGGTCAGAGAGCGTGAGTCAGCTCCTCGTTCTGCTGGCAGAGGACGGCGTTAGCCCAGTGGGTTAGCGTGGAGCCTGCCGGGTAATCCTTTCCTGGAAGAAGGAGATCAATTTTCACACCCCAGTTGCTCCCTTTAAGCTGGCTGCCTGGGTTGGCAACAGCTCTTCGCTATATTGAGGGGGTTCGTATCCATGGGTCCAGATCCTGCCGTGCACCAATCCATCCACGCCCCCTTTTGGGGGTGCAGGGCAGGGAGGCGGAGGGTGAACAGGGTGACAGGTGGGGTGGGGACGATCAGCTCTGGTCCTAGTCCTAGAGACAAGCCAGTGGGATGGGTCTGTGGGCTCCAGCCTCCCATCCACCCCCTTGGGTGACTTTTGAGGTTCCTGCCCCCTCCCCTCGCTGTCTCGCCCCCACCTGGCTTCTCTAACACGGGTCACAGCTGTGACCGCTGGATCCTCGCACGACTCCACCAGGCAGCCACCATTGCCATCCCCGTGCTACAGAAGGGGACTCTGAAGCACAGAGAGGTTAAGCCTGTCCTCCTGAGTGGCGTTGAGGCACGGCTGAGCCCAGGCAGTCTAGCTCCAGAGTCTGGCCCTGCCCCTCACCCAGGGAAGGAGGCCAGTCTTGGGGGAGAGCCCTGAAACCTGGGCTCAGGAGCCCTGGGCTGTGACCTCAGGAGCCGGGGGCCTCGAGACTGCAGAGCCAGACTCCCTCCAGCCCCTCTCCTCCATGCTTCCCCTGTGGTGGCTTTGTTTGAATGCACAAAATGGCAGGCACTGGGGATCGGGTATGGACGGGCTGCCTAAAGCACTCCCCTGCCCACTCCCCCTGCCCATGTGATGGAGGCGGGATCTGAAGCACTGTGTCAGAGCAGAAGCCCGACAGTCAGAGGCCCTGCTCACCCAGAGCTTACAGGCAAGGGCAAGCAAATGCGAGATGCCAGGTGTGCTGGATGGCAGCGAGTGCCAGAAAAGGAGGCAGAGCCAGGGGAGACGGTGTGCGGAGGATGGGGTGACTATTTAACAGGATAGGGGAGGCCTCCCTGACAATGTGACATTTGGACACAGACCCAGGGGAAGTAAGGAGGCAGCCACGGGGAGGAAGAGCCATCCAGGAAGAGGGAATAGCATGTGCAAAGGCCCTGGGGCAGTGGCATGCTTGGGTGTTCCAGGAGGGGAAGGCCAGTGAGGCTGGAGAGGAGAGGTGGTCATAGAGGGTTCAGATAGCAATTGCCTCATTGTCTCTAAAACCTTTTACAGCAGGTGGTGCATACATCCACCAACAAAAGCAAGTCAGTTGTTGCCTGGGGGCAGGGTTGGGGGACGTAGCTTGCAAAGGGGCACAAGGAAGTTTTGGGGGTGATGGAAATGTTTTGTGTCTTGATTGTGGAGGTGATTTTATGAGTGTAGACATCTGTCAAACGCACTGATGTGTAGAGTTCAATGAATACAGTTAACTGTACACTGATTATATCTCAACTAAAAGAACACAAAAGAAAAAGTCCCTGAAGTTCCGGGTGTTGGGCGTGCTTCTCACACCGGGGTCTGTTCTGCAGGGACATTTCTACAGAGCGGAGGGCCCTGACCTTCTAGGGCAAGTGTCCCCCG